TACATAATATCTGATATGATAATATACCAATTTTCCCATTCCTGGTTTTGCGCAACTGTGTTGCGCAGCTACTTATTATATAGTAATCGTTAACATTTTGTTGAAGCTATAAGTGATTTATACTAGGGGTAATGACAAATATAACGTAATATTCTGAGGGAGGAGTAAGTCTTCGATATCTTATATTAGGTATATAAATTTATAATAGCTAGTCAAATTTTTCTTACGTGGGGAAGGGTATAGTAAAAAATATTAAGTAATATTTGTCACTACTCTAGCAAATTAAACGAATTTCTTTTTATGATAGCTAGTTTTCATTAGAGCAGATCATTATATATATGTATAGCTTTATACAATCTGCTTCATACAAAACATGAAATATATGAGGTAGTTGCCCTTATTCATAAATAAAAACGTGATTCTGTTTAATGTCATATATTGATAGTTCTGCAGGCAACACTACTACTTATATTCAACTGCTCTTTAAATTAGCTTATGTACAAAAATAATAAGGCTACTGTGTTTGGCGGCATCTATAATTTACATTAAACCAATACTATATTGTAGAAAAGCAATACTATATGATATTATTTTTAACATGATTAAGAAGTTATGTACCATACTTAAAAATTTATATCAAACAATATAGTTTTTTATATAATATGCAGTTCTAGCCGGTAATAAACTAGTATTTTATTCTCCGCTTTGATATATGATGTAATTTTTATGCATGTTTCAAAAAACAATAGTTAAAGTTACTAAAATAGGTAAACTAGTGTAGTTACGATTACGAGTATACGTATAAAGACTATTTTTAAGAAATTACCTTTTTCTGTTTGATTTTGAGTCTTTGCGCTAAATAAGACTTTCATAATTGTTGAACGATACATCAGCTACTACAGAACAGTTTTATATCTTAGGTATTAGTTAAGTTCATTTGCAATAATAATAATACAATATCTAATTATACTAAAATCAATTTATATTTGTGAACAACAGATATGGATATAAATAAAATATGTAATAAAGAAACTATAGAGCCGTATTTGGAAGCCGATTTTAATTTTGATATAAATATTGAAAAGGTAATATTATAGTAATATATAATTAAAGCTTGAAAAGGCTTAACAGTTAATATCTTTAATATTTATTGTTTTAAATTTTATAGCCTGTTTTAGGATCTGATCTTATGGGACCATTAGCAGAAATTTTACCTACAAATTATTCGTACATAATAAATGAATTTCATGAAATCGATCCATTAATTACTGATGAGAACATTGTGATAAATCAAATAATCAGTTTATTCTATGTAAATATTAATTCAGCTGAACGTGCATATATGTGGCTTGAAGAGTTTCATGAAAAAACAAAAACGACAATGCGCCAAACTAGAGGTCATATTCTTAAAGGTCAATGAGTAATTTTTCGCGAGACAAGACATTGCATCCATAGCAATTCAGTCAAAGATAAACAAGGAAAAGGTGTTCAAGTTAAGAAACCACATAGTGAACGTTTAAGAAATACTGGCTGTTTAGCAACAATCGGATTTCGTATTGAAAAACGTTATTTAGAAAGGTCACATGCTCTTGAAGTATCTCTTCACTTTACTCATAATCATGTTCCTAAATCTGCTATATCATTAAGTTTTCGTCCTGTAAATATCCAAACAGAGGAAAAATATTTAAAACTATTTCAATGTGGACATACACCATCAACTGCTCGTTATGAATATGAAGAAAAGTTGCATTTATTAGCTGATAATGAGGAACATTTAGCAACTATTTTAGCTGACCGTGCATTAAATCCTGATAGTGGATATATTATAAATCTTTATAAAAAGTTTCGCTTAATTCAACTTGGTGCACGAAATGGAAATAGTATGTTTGAACGTCTTGAAAATGAAATCAAAAATTATAATGAATTAGGGTATGGTAAAGCTGTTTTCCATTCATTTGATAAAAGAAAAGGTCAAGCATTTGTTTTATGTATAGTTAGCAGTTTGATGCAAAGAATTCACAAAACTATTAGGCAAGCAGGAGAAATATGTTATATAGACGCATCATCATCTTTTGATTCATTAAATACTTCAATAACTCTGTTATATACAAGTTGTGCTGTAGGAGCATTGCCCTTAGGAATTATTTTAACATCTAATGAATCAGAAGATACGCTTGAATTCGCATTTAATTTTTTAAAAACAATATTACCTAAGAAGGCATTCTATAATAGAGGACCAGAAGTTGGACCAAGTATCATAATTACTGATGACTCTTATGCTGAACGAAATGTACTTCGACATTGTTGGAATCAAGCGAAAATTTTTCTCTGTGTTTTTCATATACTTCAATCATTTTGGAGGTGGTTGTGGAATACTAGCCATCATATTCACAAAGATGATCGGTTGTTAATAATGCGATATATGAAATCTATGGTATATGCATCAACAGAAACTGAATTAGTAAATTCATTTAAAATTCTACAACAGCAATACTTTGAAAAATATTCAAATTTTGCTACATATGTTATTCGTTATTGGAATAGAAGACATGAATAGGCACTTTTTTTTCGCATTGGTTTACTAACACGTGGGAATAATACTAATAATTATGTGGAGAAAAGTTTCGGATTATTGAAAGAATATACCTTATATAATTAATTGGATTCTTTATTCGCAATACACTGATAGATTCATTGTGTGCGATTAGATTGCATTTAGGGAGGTTAAGTGCATATATGGAGGTAGCGCACTTATGGCAATTTTGAATCATTTTTCTAGGTGACCTAATATATAAGGTAATTTTAAAAACAATAAAATATATATGATTCTTGGATTTGATATTTTAGACATTTTAAGTAAATAACGGAAATCATAAAATCACACACATATGATCTACGGTGTCGTCTCTGCCCCTCGAATCGATGCCACATTGAGATTACTACCACGCGTCCACAATTTTATAATAACTTCGGCAGAATCGATATTTTATGCTTTGAAATAAATTGAGCAAAGAATATTTGGCCTGTCTATAATGCTTCTTGAAATGCGAAGTTGCTCCTGATGTAATATGCATGCATAAAGTTAGATTTAAACCGCTTTATGTATCGGAATTGATTAATTTTGCCACTACTTTCCTGCAGCTTTTATTGGTCGCAATAATATTTGAACATGTGATGTGCCAACGACCAATAGAAATTGTAGAAATGTTGCGGCTAAATTACAAGATCTATTGTCAATTAGAAGAAACTTTGGTCAAACGACTCGAAATTGTTGATCGGAACTTTAAATATATCTATTACACATAATAAATTATGTTTTCAAGGGTACACTTTGATCTATTACTGTCATTACTGACTGAAAAGTTACAGAAAGAATCCAATTAATTATATAAGGTATATTCTTTTAATAAATCATAATAAACTAATAAGGAAACTTGAAATCTACTCTCATTATTATTAAGCTAAATTTAAATTTCACATATTTATTCTATTTTATAGAAGATAAATCAAAATAGAAATGTATATTAAATTAGAGCACTTCAATGAGATAATACTAATTACAACAATAGGAATTACTATTGTTCATAGTACTCAAAAAAGCGTACACAGGGAGTTGCACATACGTATAAAATTTTTCAGAAAAAGCGTATCTATTTACAAAATTTAGCAAAATAAAAGAACATTCGATTATCTAATGATAAAAAAAAAATTTGAATTAAGAAAACTTTGAAATTTAAACTTTTAATATCTATTTAAAATTGCAGGTTGTCACATTGTGTATTTGTATTACGCATACGTATTACTGCATCCTTCCTCCGGATATTCCCCAAATGAAGGAATATTTAATAAAAATTAAATACCGGCATAATACCTGCACTATTAGATCGACATTTATATCTTGTGGTCTAGAATTAGAATTTTAATTTAGGGAACTAACACTTATTACGTAAATATAGCCCCCCTCTCTCAGACCCAGGTATCTGGAAACCCTTTACTTAATTACCAAATAATTTCTTGTTATCTGGCATGATTTGACGAATACACAGTTATTGGCAGGATAATAACAAAAACACGTGGCCGAAGGCCACGTGCGTTGTTATTATTCTGTTGATCTCGTATTCGTCACCATCATGCCGGATAACTAGTTTATTCGGCAGGTATGACGTATACACTTGCGGAAAAAATTGATATTATGCCGCAGGTTTTATATTAAAATAACCCAGAATTTGTCAGATGTTTTTAATATTATCCTGCGGCAATAATGTGAAATTTTTTCCGTCAGTGTTTACATGATGCCTGACGAAATTATTTTTGCGATGGCGAAAGTATTTCGGCATATTTCGTCTGACGAAATCCTTGACGATTGACGAAACCTATGGCGATTGATGTGGGCTGATGGCAAAACCTTAGGCCGAGGCTGAGGTCAATGTCGTTCGGCCAGGTCGACCGGGCTGACCATTATACTAAAAAAAAATTCTCGGTCAATTATAGTAATTTCATTACTCCTGGGACACCTGATTAAAAATTAGACTATCCGATTCATGATTAGTATATATATTATATACCGAAATCAAACACTTATCGAATTAGGTAGTCTAATTTTTAATCAGATGTCTCAGGAGTGATGAAAATAATTGTAATCGCAAAACTATCACATTACACTCGGTATTGTGATTTTATTAGTTTAAAGAAGTACCAGTACTAAGTATCAAGGTTCAGACATTTCTCCGGATAATAAATCATCTTTATACCACTTACTGGATAAATATTTAAGGTGATTGGATTGTGGTAAATAAGTATGATATTCATAATTTGCTGATTTTAATTCAACACGGATAATAAATCATCTTTATACTCACTTGCTGAATGAAAAAGATTTGAAGAGTATTTAGGTTGTGGTAAATAAGTATTATGTTATGGTTTGCTGATTTTAACACAGGATAATAAATCATCTTTACACTCTCGCACTAAATGAAAAGATTTGGGTTAAGATGCAGATTTAATCCCACTGGCATTAAGTAAGCCAGCTAGCCAGCATTATGCGAGCTGGCTCAAATTATAAAAATTTACTTTACCTTGATCGGCCTCGGCCCATGAGACCCTCGGCCCGTCCGTCCGCCCGGCTGATGGGCCGGGGTCGGCCCATATCACTAATCGTTATACATACGCAATAAACTACATATACAGTATATGATTTATACTAGGGACTTAAACTTGTTAGTTCGGTTTTGAAACACGAACTAACATTGTTCAGAACCATTGAGTTTTAAACTATCGCTATGCTTTAAACTTGTATGTATAT